AGGTGTTGATTACGTGCAGTTCATCGTCACTGCGAAAGAAGGACATGAGCGGCAGAGAAGTTTTACGTGGTTCACCGTCAAGTGAAGCTCTCTTGGCGCTTTTCCCCATCACGCGGCTCATTTTGGCCGCCAGCCGCTCCATCGCCACGCGGCAGGCGTCCTCCTCACGCGTCGCTGCAACCGCGTGCGGCACGCCGACCCTCCACCGCTCGCAGAGAGGCCGCAGCACCCGCAGCCGCTGCGGGGCCGCGAAGGTGCCGAGCAGCACAGCCAAGACAGTCAAGATGGTTTGCGAGACGCCGCTCCTGGCGGTGGACGCGGAGGCCTCATCGCCGCTGGACGTATCCTCGCCGTCGTCGTCAAGTTCCGGCATCAAACGGTCAAGCCGCAGCGCGGCGAAGGCGCGCCCGGGGACGGCGTCCAGCTGGTACAGCTCCACTGGCTTCGGCACCCCGCGCCCAGCGCAGTCACCTCCACCCGCTCCCGCTCAGCCGTGCTCAGCGCCAAGTACGCCGCACGCGTCAGCAGCACCTGCCCGCCGTTTCCCACGCCCTCCGTGCGCGCCGCCACGTTCGCCGTGTCGCCGTAGTAGTCGTACCCCTTCGTCACCTCGTCGCGCCGGATGTCGCACAGCCCGGTGTGCACCCCGACACGCACCCGCAGGCCGTTCCAGTGCTGCCGGTACACCGCGGCGTCCAGGCGCGCCGTCGGCGGCACGTACCCCTCCGCGTCCTCCTCCGCCCGGTCCTCCTCGAACTTGTGGTACGCCTCGTCGAGCGCGCCCGTCCCCCAGTCTTGCTGCAGGAGCACCTGCTGCAGCTCCCGCACCAGCTGCACCGCCGCGAACACGCTCTTGCACGCAATCACGAACGAGTCGCCGACCGTCTTCACCTCGTAGCAGTGGTACTTCGCAATCAGCGCGCGGATCAGGCGGTGGTGCGTCGCCACGGCGTCGGGCATCAGCTCGGGGCACGCAGCCCACAGCGCCGTGCTGCTCTCGATGTCGGTGAACACGAGCGTCACGGGGTCCGTCGGCTCCTTCGGCGCATTCGCGTTGTCGCGCGAGCCGCGGCAGAAGTGTAGCAGCAGAGCCGCCACGGCCACAAGCAGCAGACCGCCAACGACGCTGCCGACGATGATGCCGATCAGCTCCGGCTCCGTCAGTCCGCGCGTAGCGGGCTCCGCGTACTCCATCGTCGGGGTCACGGCGGGGAACAGCACGGGCACGGCGGGGTCCAGCGCACGGGCAAGCGACCACACAGAAATAAATGTAGCCCCGTAGTTTTTGCCGCACCCAGCACCGCCGACCGCAGCCGCAGCGCACGCCGTACCGTTAACGAAGGGGCCGTACAGCATGTCCTTCACGGCGCCGGCAACGTTCTTGTAGAAGAAGTCGGCCAGCCGCGCAGCGCTCATCCTGCCCATGCGGGAGATAACCGTCCGTAGCGCCTGCGTGGTGACGAAGCCCACCAGCGAGAGCGGCGTCCGTTGCGTGGCGTTGGGCACAGCGGCGAGGAACTCCTGGGCGGTCCCCGACGTCGAGTTCGCGTCGTCCCAGTGCGGCAGGCTCGTCGCAAACACAACGCGGCCAGCGCCAGCTGCACCGCCACCGAACGCGGCAACGAAGTCGGCGTGCAGCAGCGCAAACTCGGAGAACGGAACGAACACGCGCACGTCTTCGTGCGACGCCACGTGCCGCGCCACCGCAGCGACGTCGCCGGCCGCAAGGCCCGCCACGAACACGTCGCCCGCCTCCGGCAGGTGCCCCGCCAGCGCGTCGCCGCCGGCCAGCAGCGTCGCGGACCGCAGCGACCCGCCAAACGTCACCAGCGACCGCCGCAGCACCTCCGCCACCGCCGCCGCCTCCTCGCCGCGGATCACCGCGTGCGCCGCGCGGACACCCGCGTCCCGGAGGTACTCCGCCAGCACGAAGAACTGCTGCTCCAGCGTCGGCAACTGGTAGATCACGTGCCGGCGGAACCTGTTCAGCCGCGGCTCGAGCTGCAGCGGGTCGAGGAAGAACACACCCTCCACGTCCAGCATCGCCTCC